ATGAATTTTGTCAGAGCTCCTATACAGTTTCTTTGTGACTTCGATTATTTGATTGTTTGAAACGTAACTTTTCTGATTTATAGCAACAAAAAAGAAGTCCTAATTCTAGTATAGCATGGTTATCTTTTCAATGGAAATGTTTTGTATTCAATCTTTCGAAGGATCACTCGTCTTCTAGAAAATATCGATTTGTGTCAATCGATATTGGAAGCTTCGCACCATATTTTGCAGTTGAATGAATCTCGAATGCTATTTAACTACATATGATATTATCGGTTTTTTGAAAAAACATGACTGAAACTGTTAATAATTAATATCATTAAAAGCGACATATTCTATATTAGTTGTTTTTAAAATCAAAATAGAATTGAATTGTAACATTCAATAATACTAACTATGGATATATATATGCGAAGTGCTTTCTAACGAGGAAGCCACTCGAATTGATACCCTGTTGTTTGATCTCATATTGGGCTTACAAAGACGCTTCGGAAAGACTAGAAAAAAATTCAACAGGATTCGTTCCTCATGGAATTTTGGAACAGATTTATGGTCGTTTTGACTGCTTTTTCGATTCATCTTTTAATAATTATATATCAAAAAGTCAAAAAGCAGAATCTCGACGTAAAATTCTATTGAACAGTAGAGTTGATTATCTATAACATATTCTGAACGTTTCAGTCAGAAAGAATGTCTTTTTTTTGTCCAGATATTAAATTATCAAAGAAACTTGATGTTTGTTATCATTAAAGTGACAAGTAAATATTGTTTGGAAAGCTAATATCTTAACACACAAATTTTGTTTTCCACTTCAAACTTTGAGATATATTCAATGAGAGTCGTTCGACTTATAATAAATAAACGAAATTTCTTGTCAACTTTTGTGATTTTTAAATTCTTCAGTATGTATGTAAAGTAATGTCGAAACTTCAATAATCTTTGTAAGTAACAATATCTTGATGGTACTATGTATTGTATGCAAGAAAATTATAATTTTTATAATCTACAAAAATTTTCCTCATTGAAATAAAACACTATAGTATACAAATATCAATCTTTTATTTCTCACAAAAAAAAAAGAAACTCGTCTCTCTAATTCTTATCTACAGAAAAATATATAATAAAACCTAATGAGAAGGAATTCTTAATAGATTAATTAATTTACTAATAAATCCAAGCGCCATCTATTTTTATTTATTTCTCGTTGGCTAAAAATATAAACCGATAAAGTTTAAAATCGAAGCCCCTGTGATAACGTTTTTTTTTTCTTGTTCAGTGTGCTTCTTCTCTCTCGTTCGAGATTAATTCAACCAACATTATCACGTGTATTACATTGTTATAAATATATATATTTTTTAGATTTTGTGTTTGTCTTTATTTTTCATTCATTCTTCTTTCATAATTAACAAACAACTATTCTATGGCTTCATGTATGACATTAAAGCGTTCGTTTGAACATGATCGAGATTCTAGTACTAATTCAACCCCATATGAATCAAGGACGCCATCGAAACGTCAACGTCGCTGTTTTCCAGTAACAGTTGTTGCAACAACTAATGAAGCAACAACAGAAATGTCATTTGGAAATCAATCAGTATTTCCTGATGCTCAACCAATTTTAACAGCTGGTAAAAAAAAAGAAAAATGTCATTCTGATTTTATTTATTTTCTGGTTTTTGTTTTTATTTTTAAATTAGATGTTTTATTAACACGAATAAAAGAAGAAGTACGTCGTCTTCAACGACGTCATCAATTAAAATCATCGTCATTAGACACATCTGATGATGATAATCATCATACAACTGATTCAACATCATTAAATAATTTACCTGGACATTCATCATCAAATAATCAACATCTTTTAACACTTAAACAAGTTAATATGATATGTGCTCGATTATTAAAAGAACGTGAAGATAAAATACGTGAAGAATATGATCAAATTTTATCAAATAAACTTAATGGTAACAAAAAAAAAGAACATTAATTAAAAATTTTTTTTTTTTTTTGTATTCAAATATATCTATTTTATTTTATTTTTGTTTAGAGCAATATGAAGGTTTTGTTCGATTTACACAAGATCAATTGACACGACGATTTTCTGAATTACAATTTTCTTGTACGTATTCAATAATTCTTATTTTTAATAAGCAAAAATCATTTAATATAATTTCTTCATTCGTTTTTTTTCTTTTAGATGTTTCATAATATCAAAAACTTCCGACATAGAAAAAGAAAAAAAAAAAAAAAAACAATCTCGTTTCTTCTTTTGGTGCTGGTCAATTTACATTTTTTTTTTTTTTGAAAAAGAGAACATCATATTAAATTGTTGTATTATTGTCTTCTGATTTTTTTTTTTTGTTTGATGATATTCATATCTATATGCTTCTTTTTTTTTTCTTTTGGTGCGATTAATAATGAGCAGATAGGAAAAGAAGAAATTTGGAATAGTAACAGATTAATGCAGACTATAATTGAAAACAAAAAATAATCAAGATATACATGCATAAATACATATTTAAAGATTCTCTTTGTATTTTATCATTTCTTTATGTTTATTAGTTTCGATGTTTCTTTTTTCATTTTTGGCTTTTTGTGGATATAAATATGAATATATATATATATATACATAAACGTATGTGGCATTCGAGAAGAACTTTTCACTTCCTTTTTTTTTTTCTTTCTTTTGTTCTTAAATAAAGTTATTAAAAAAAGAAATCGAAAAAAAAGAATAAACAAAACTAAATTAAGAGTCGTACTATATAGTCTAGATAATGTATTCAATTGATGGTTTAATGTCGACGAGTTTTTTAATGAAAAGGTTAGTTGAATATTATCTTTGTTGTGCGATGTCATGAAACTGCTTTATTTCGTTTCTATTTTAATGTTATCTCAATTGTTATGTGCACTTGTGTATATGTGAATGTATGTGAGAAATATTTAACTAGATAATAGCAATATTCGATTGGTTGATACTGTATGTTGATGCATGTTATATATGTAGATTAAGAGCAAAAAAAAAACAAATCAAGATTGAAGTGAATATATAAAAGGAAAAAAAAAAGAAACGAGCTGATGCACAGCATTAATATGCAGATGGAGGTTAAACTTTCGATCACAGTGATGATGAGAGAAAACGGAATGTGTTTAGCGAGCGACAAGGAGAACGAGAAAAGAAAAGAAAGAATTACCACCATTAAAATGTATATACATACTATTCGCTCGTTCTATTGTCCGAACGATCAGCGAAGGCCGAATATCGGTCACAAACTTACAGCGTGATTCTTTAAGCTTTTTTTTTTCTTTGTGATATGTAGCTCGATTTTATAGAGCTATTTCAATAACAAGGGATAACAAGTAAGTTTGCATTAAAGAAAAGAAAGAAAAGATATGCAGTTTAAGTACATGGATACCAAGAAGGCTTAGATGTTTCATATCAACAGTAATGAAAGACCGTTAGTGCAAAACACTAGAAAACACATTTGCGACAACTGCAGAAAGAGAAAAAATAAGAAAAAGAAGAAGAACTGCTAGTAGCAAAATAATTCATGGAAAGAGAAGTAATAAAAAAAGATGATATATTAGTTAATCTTGAGAGTAAATCATATAAAAAATAGCACACAATATATATCACTCAATATATTCGATTACATAAAAGTACAAAGTCCATCTATAATCTTTCATCATGACTCCATTGGTTATTACGCCATATGACTGATTTTGTTTTAATATTTTTATGTCAAATAAAGATATTTTTATATATCTAACGAACAATTATCGTCAAGATAATAAAGAGAAAATGATTTTCCAAAATACGACTATTAATATAAGAATCCATAAATATATGTCAGAGAAAAAAATCGTATCTCTATATTATTATATATTCCAGCAGCCATGAATACAAAAAGCTGACAGGATGAAGAATTTCTCTTCTCGTGCGTATGGCTATAATGTTAAGGAACACACAACCTTCTAGCATCACCTCAAGTCATATTATTTAGATTACTGATATTTATCGAGATTATTGTGATAATCCAGTAGGATAATTATGGTGTTTTCAGAAGGTTTTCTTATTCTTCATGTTTTTTCTCTGCAATCATTCTTATTTGCTATTTTACTGATATCGTTGTATATTTCTCATTGTACGATAATATCTCTTATTTAATAGTAGAATGACAAACAAAAATTTAGACATTATTATCAACAAACATAGGTGATCCGTATAGAAGATAATTGTTTTATTTAAATTTCTATCCATTGGTAGCCAGTACTATAAGTTTTTTTCGATGCACAGCTGTTTATTTTCATCGTTCTCTTAAAGAAACACTTGTCAATCAGTCGATACTTTTGCTTCTCTATTTTTTTCTACAATTGTTTGTGACGAAGCCAAATAGATGTCTTTCAGTAATTTGTTTTTCGCTCAATAGAGTAATGTTACTATTCAGAAATTCAGCTCATCTAATCAACTTGCATACGACTTTTTTCTTCTCCAAAACGATATGTACGTAGAAAATGTTGTTAGAAAAAGACGAAGAAAAAACGCCAGTCAAGGGAGCGGGTAAGAGAAGGAAGGAAAAAATGCTGAAAATAACAGAAGAACGATAGATCTTCATGTTTCTTCAAGGTAGTACCCATAATCGTAACTGTTCGTCGTTTTTTTTCTGTTATTATGTCGAATCACAAACATTTCAATCTGATATAGTCGATTTCACGTTTGATTACCTGTTTTTACGATTATTAGAAAAAAAGTAGTCCAAATAAACAGAACACTGTAAATGCACAACGTCGAATTTGATCAATGAGAAAAAGCCTGTAGACATACACGATGAAAATAACAATAATAATTTAACTTATAATCAAGGGTAACAGTTTAGTTAAAATAAATATTCTGTTTTATTTGCATTTTCTCTATACGTTTTTCTTCCTTCGAATCCTTTTCTTCTGACTATGTTCGTATATAAACAGATTGAAATAATCACATATGTATTGAAAAAACCATAATGATTGTTGAACCTCGACGTCGAAAAAGTTCTGTAACATTTTCTGTACCTGATGATCATTATCATCATCAATATTATGCACAACGAACATCAAGCTTTGCTGAATCAGATTTGGATTATGGTTAGTAAGATGAATGTGTGCTGTGCATGTCGTAGTTGTTTAATACGACTAAATCTTTATCTTTTTGTTAAAAATATATATTGCACGATAAAAATGATTTATATATTTGTATATATATATATAGTATCCTGTTTATTGTTTTTTTTTCTCAACACAATAACAATCTAACAACAAAACGTATATAATGACAGACAATATTGGATACGACATCAGTAATAAATTTAGTTATCATTGTTTGAAAATAAATCATTTGAGTCATATTTGATCACACTTTATGTATTCTACGAAATGCAATAAATACAGTGCGTGTATTTTTAAGTAACTCAGTATAACAGTTTTGCGTAGTACCGATAATGATGAAAAGAACGTCGAGAAATCCTATGAATACTGTAACGAATAATGATACGATTTTGCAGTGCAATGATGGTGTGTCTTTAATTATTTCCTTAAATTAAATTAATTATATTATTATTTTTAATTCTTTAGAGCCAACTCTTTCAACAATTAGTCCAGTAACATTGGCTATGGCTCGAGCATTACGTAGTGTTAAAACATTTAAAAAAAGTTGGGATTCTGATAAGGCACTGAAAAGTACATATAAAGGAAAATTTGGCAAACACCAACTACGTGCTTATATCTTTTTAATTTTGGGCTATGCTGTCATTGTAGCATGGCTTACAGAGATGCCTGTATTTGCATGTAAGAAATTGATTTTTTTTTAATATTTAAATCAATTTATAGCGAATATCTATTTAGTGTTACCATCGAAATTTGGTAATTGTACAACAACTGATTCGAATGTTTCGATTACCGACATAATCACTTCCACACCTCCTAATACAACATCTCTTCAATCAAAACCCATAAAATTAAAATCTTTGAATTCAATAGAAACACTACCAAAGTCACTGAGTGATAATGTTCAAAAAACTACTGATAGACCAGTGCAAAAATCTGAACAAACATATAATTATAGCCGAGAATATGGACGAACTGTATTTTCTGATGTAAGAATAAGTTCACTTTATTAAAGAAAAAGATTGACCATATCAATTATCATTTTCATTACCAAGTAATAAATTTAAAGTATGAGCTGCCTATAGCAAGTACACACTGAGATATTCTAATCTTACAAAAAAAAAAAGTTCAAGTTAGTATTAGTTTTACATGAAAGGCACAATGAATCCGAAATTTTAATTTGAGTAACGAATCTTTTAACCATACTTTTTCTTATATAACTCAATGAATTCTATCCAACGATGATGAAAAAAGAAAGAAAATTCTTTTGAAATTTTGAATCACTTGATCTCTGGTTTGTTCCCGTTATGAACAGGTCATATTTTAAATTTGGCTATGAAAAGTGATAATTTAACTTGAATACAATTAATCTTCTTGTATATTATTACAAAAAGATTTGATTGTTAGAAATAGATCAAATTTTCAAATATGATGAATTCAATTTTCTTTGATTTTGAATTTCGTTTAGTAAATTTAAATAATAAATTTTCTAGTTCGATATCTTTTGCGATCCCATCCGTATGAAAATACCGAATATTGTCTATCTTATTGGTTTGGTTCTTGGAGGTCTTATATTTGGTTATATTGCTGATCATAGTGGAAGAAAAATGATTTTAATTGGTAAAAAAAACTCGAAATATTTTTTTTTGTTGTTGCAAGTTTAGTAAATATAAATTTTGTTTTTTTTTGTTTCCTAAAAGGATCAATGTGGACAGCATGTGCGCTATCAATATTTCAACTTCTAAGTGATGATTATATATCTTATGTTTTCTTTATACTTTTTGTTGGTATGGCCATTGGTGCTGTACAAGTAATTACTGTACCTTATGTTATTGAAATGGTAGATAAATAATTGTTATTTTAACTGTCGTTACTTCAAATATTCTTTGTTTGCTTTTTTTTTTCATTTTATAGTTTCCTATTGAATCTCGAGCAATTTATGCTCTATTATTAACAGGTGCAGTATTTATATTTGATTTAATTATTCCTGGTCTTGCATTTGCTATAAAGAACTGGAAAATATTGCAAGGTGTTGTTTCACTACCATTGATCGTAACTGCCGTTCTTTATTGGTGAGTTTTTAATCAGAGAAAGAAAAAAAATGTTCTATTTGTTATTAAATAAAGAAAACTTTCAAATAACATGAATAGTCAATAGTATAATAAATATATTTGACAAAGATAGTATCATGCAAATTTGAGAATTAGTCAAAATGAAAATAATATCTATTGACATCCTATTCAAAAAAGATGATAATATGACGTGACATGCATACTATCTGTGTATAATGAGATATGATGCTTGAATGAATTAGTTAGTTGCTTTTTATATATTGATAATATAGGCTCTTAGTGCAGCTGATGGGGTCTGATGAGTTGTAATTGTGTGTGAAAAAGAAGTTTGGAAAAATAATTAGATTAACTTTCGAACACATATATAAATCAAGCGCAGCTTTGAACAAGAAAAAAACTATTTAACATTATTCACTATATTCGTGCATTTCTAATTGTTCGTATCATGTTTGTTTTATCAATCGAACAGGACAATTATACCAAACATAGTAAATGAAATATAAAAGAAAAAAATAAACTTTATGACCTTTGAAGTCTTAACGTCCTCTGTTTTCTTTTGAAATTAAAACTTCATAAAATTAGCATATTATTAAAATATTCCAGTATTAACAATAGAATATTTGAAAGTTTCGAAAGAAAATTCTTTTTTGAATTCGAAACGAAACGTTGAAATCTGTTTGTTTAATATATTGATTTGTTAATATAGGAATTGTTGTACAAAATTTAATGAATATCTTTCCATCAGATATTCAAATTTTCTTGTGTATGTTGCTACGGCTTTTGAAAAATCGATATATTGATCAAAAAAACGTTTCATTAGGCAAATACATAGATAAAAGCTCGACTGTAGTTCATAATCCTATTTTATAAAATTGTATTTACTCTATAAAAGTGCCGCATTGATACAAACTCTACATCTTCACAAACAATTCGATCAGTATAAAGAAGAAACATCTTGTTTTCCGCTTGAAATCTTAGATAGAAGTTCATATAAAACATGTGAATTAAAATTCGAAAAGAACCGAAAGTTCCATTTATAAATGATTTTGAACCTGAAATAAAACCAAAATAAATGTCCAATTTTGTAATACAATCTTTCGTACAAGAAAAGAATTTATCACTAAAAAAATCTTTGTAATTTTCTTTTCTTTTTTGTAATTTGAATATTTTATTAGGTTCGCAGAAGAATCCATGTTTTGGTATACAACTCAAAAAGATTATGTAACAGCTGTATTATCATTAACAAAAGTTGCTCGATTCAATGGGATAGTTTTTGAAGATGTATTTCGTGAGGCACGTGATTTTCTACGTGGTAAACGTTCCAAAGGAATTCAATGTGATTTTCAACCATTACTTCGACTTGGTTTGTTTTCTACTTTCCTTCCGTTTTCTAAAGAAAAACAATTTTCTTTTTGTCTTCTAGAGGATATTCAATTATTGGGTTCAAAATATCCGGATTTTGATATGGTTGATTTACAAGCAACAACAGGTAAAAAAAATACATTATCACAACGTATTGTACAAGTATTAACTGGTCATCATTATTATCCAACATTATCAACATTTTATCCAACTGATTATCTTCATTCATCAATATTAACTATTTACTTACTTGTTATGTGCGGTCTTTGGTATGTATTATTTTTTTTTTCTTTTGAAAAAACATCTATTATATATTTTTTTTGCTAATAATTTTTTTGATATATTTAGGCTTGTTAGTTCATTAACAGAATATAGTCTTGAAACATCAGTTTTGACTCAACATTTAACAAATAATTTTTTTCTTAATTATTTCTATACACATCTTATACAAATTGCTTCATTCGCTGTTGCATTTCCTATGGTTTATAAGTATGAATAAAACGAATTTACTATTATTATTTAAACAAAAATATGGAATTTTTTTTTTTAATTTAAGATGGGGTCGTCGATGGCCAACATTTTGTTTTTTTCTTATTGCTGAAGTTTGTCTACTTGGTTCATTTGCTGCTCGACCTGGTAATTAAATTCAATTGAATTAATTCATTTTTTTGAAAAATTAAATATAAAAATTTTAGAAAACGAAGAATTACGTAATGCAATGCTTGTTGTCTATTTCGTGGGCAAATTTGCATCTCGTGGTGGATATATTGTTATTCTACTTTATACATGTGAAATATTTCCTACTGGTTTAAGGTAAATTAATCATAAAAAAAAAAATATTATTTCATGTCATTGGATTTTTTGTTTTAAAGATGTACAACACTTGGTATATGTTATGCTTTTCGATTAATTGGTGTAGCACTTGCGTCCGATAGTGTGGTATGAAAAAGATCAAAATAAAAGTTTATTTTATAATATTTTTTTTTTATATAAGGCTGGATTGAACGATGGAATGGCTCGTCTTATTTATGGTATATTATCATTAATTCTTGGTTCAATGGCACTTTTATTACCTGAAACTAAAAAAATTCCTTTACCTCGAACTATTATTCAAGTTGAAGTTATTCCAACATCAATAAGTAAAAATTTTCGTCGTCATCGTTCTGTACCAGTTAAACGAAATGTTCGATCAGATAGTATACGTCCAGAAGGTGCAAATGCATTTAATGATGGTGCATCATCTGTATCTGGTATACGTTCAGTTCGTTTTGGTCCATATGATAATCAATCAACATTACATAGTGTTTATGAATTACAAGAATATGGACAAGATGATACAGTACATTCATCAGCAAGTCGATATAATCGACGAATGGATTTACGTAATCCAACTATATTTCAACCATATAGTGGAAATAATCTTGAAACACATCGACAGCAAACTCCAATTGCTGAAGATGTTGAATATGATGAAGATGTTGATGATGATCGAACACGTTATGCTCAACAACAACGACTAACAGAACAACACCACCGTTTTAATGACCAGCAAATGACAAATGATAATGATGTTATTGTTCTACCAAATAGAACAAATGCTAGAAAATCATCAAGTAATTCACCATCACAACTTGAACCTAAAGCAGAAATTCAAACAGGTGATACAACAGGTGAACGAAATGGTTTAGCAACGACAAAATCAACAGCTGATGAAATAGTAGATGATAATAAACAAGACGAAAATACTTCTCAATCATCAACACGAATTGTTCATGAAACAAGAACATTTCCACCAAATATGAGTGAAGATGAAAATTATTTTTCTGAACATTGTTAGTTTACAATACAATCTTAATCTTCCTTCTAATAAACAGAGTGATACATGTTATGGCTTATATCAATGAAACATAATTTTTTTTTTCGCGTTTTCTTTTAGACGCTTGATTTCTTTTTGTTTGACATTTAGAATTCTATTATAGTTTGAAGAGTTCGATAAATCTGATATGCCTTTCTTAGAATAATATGAATATCGTCATATTAACTTTCAACAATTGTCGTAAATCTACTACAAGAAAGTCAGTACGACGCAATTCATGTTTTCTCCTTTCTTATCTTGATAAGGTGATTGAATTAATATTTCACTTAAGTAAATCCTCTTCTATAATTTAACTTAGCATTAATAAATAATTAACAATAACTTAGTCATGTTTCATATTTATATGAGATAATTATTCAAACATAACATTCAAAAAATAAATAATTTAATTTACAATAACATAAAAAATAATTAATTTTTTATATAATCAATTAAATCATTATTTTGCTATAGCTATTATTATATTATTGATCTGTATCAACATCATACAATGATTAGAAAACAAAAGAAGAAAATATTCTATTTTGTTTGTTTGTCTAGTTGTTGATACTTTTATGTTATTGTATGCTAACTCGTTTGTTTTAAGTACAATATTCGTAGAAGTATCTCATTGAAATACAAAACATGATTAAGTTTTTGTTAATTACCTATTAATAATAAAATAAATAGAAAAAAAAACAGAATTTATTGATGTTAAAGATTACATAGATATTTTTTTTTTGTTCTAATAAAGTATTCATATTAATTCTTAGGCGCCAAAACCCAAGTATTGAACTTAGATCGTGGCATTATTTACAAGCTTCTTTCCTGTTTCCTTTTCTGTACTTTTCGGTCCATTTCATTTACATATAATCATAGCTTGTTTTCTTTTCTTATTCGTTGCTTTGAACAGTATGAAATGATGTATTTATCTTCAGTTTATAATATTAGTTCAAAAAAAAAAAAAAAAAAAAAACAAAAGAATACAATAAATATCTTAGCAGAAAAACTTGACGTGTTAACACAATGTCAACTAGAGACGTGCTCACAAGTGATAACAGAGATTATTTGAACTTCTTATTAACACACGCACACAGACACACATATATATATATATCTACGAGTCAGGTTTTATCAACATTTTGGATCATTTGATTCATATTCATTTCAAAAGCCAAAAAAAAGCCACGCAAGAAATTCTCAACTCGATTGCTAATGCATCGTTGGACGCCACCAGTATCACCAATTCCAACAACTTCATGGGATAATAATACCAAATATGACAATCAACAAATATGTTTACGTTGGTGTAAAGTTTGTATATCTACATTAACTGTATTAGTACTACTTAGTTTTTGTATTATATATCCTGTACAAAAAGAACTATTTTTTAAACAGAAATATCAAAATAAACAACAAGAACAATTTAATCAACAACAACAATTATCATTTGACACATATATTCAAGATATATCAAATATACTTTTACAAGAATCCGATAAAAATAATACTAATGAAAAATTTCTTCATATACAAACAAAAACATTAATGATATTAAGAACTTTAGATATTAAACGAAAAAAAGATATTATTTTATTTTTATATGAAAGACATCTTATTCAAAATAATCAATTAAATTTATATGGAGCTGATTTAAATAACGTTGAATTAATATGTCCTCATGATTTTCATTATTTGCATTTACCTGGTGTATTATGGTCGAATGGTAAATTTATTAATTGTCATTTAACATTTGCTAATTTAAATAATGCATATCTTATTAATGCTCAATTTATTAATTCAACACTTCAAAATGCATCATTAATTGAAACAAAACTTGATAAGAGTTATTTTATACAAACAATAATTATGAATGTTAATTTTAATCAAGCTTCACTTATTCAAGCAGATTTTCTTCAAGCTGATGTTGTTCAAGGAAATAATTTTACAAATGCTGATTTATATCAAGCTAAATTAACTGATGATCAATTAGAAGGAAAAAAAATTTCAATTATAAAACATGATTTTTTTCATGCACGATTTCCAAATGGATCTTTTGGTTTATTGAATTCAGAAGAAAATTTAATTTCTAATGGAAATGCTGAAATGGAGGTAGAAAATTTATTTGAATGTTTATTTAAATATGATGGTTTTTTTTTTCTTTTTCTAAATAGTGTTTTGCTGATAAACAAACAAAATGGAAGACAGTTGATAGTAATACAATATTATTAACTGAAAAAATTGAAAATATAACAGTTAACAATACAATTATTAATAAGAATTATTGGGGAAATTGTTCATTTATCATTTTATCTAAAACACAAGTCTATCAAGAGATCAATTTATATTCATATTCAGTTTTGATTGATACCAATAATGCTGCATTTTCTTTCTTAGGTTTTGCTAGTTGTAATCGATCTTACTTTGAAATTAATATGTATCGTTCGGATGATATTTTGCATGGTTTAAAAACTTATTCAAGTAAAAGAAATGTTAAATTTAATTGAATAATTTATTTTCATCGATATTTTAGAGCCTTGGAAAGAAATGGAACTAAATGATGATGAACTAATGCATGCATACGGTGAACATCGACATTATTTGTCAGCACGTACACGACGTATTGAAATTTATTTCGGTATTGAAAAATCCGAAGATGATATTCCTTGTCATTTTGACAATATTACTTTAACTATTCATCAAAATACAACAAAATAAAAATTTTATATTTTATTCTATATATGATCTGCTTCTTATTTTTTCAAATAAATATTAATCAAGAATTTATTTAGTTATGAGAAAAAAAATAAATCATTCCACTTTCACAAAATAATATACCAAACATGACAATTCTAGATATTTTATTATTTACGTATATATGAAATAAGTATATTTGTTCATAACATGAATTTTCATTGATTAAAAATTGGAAGTATTGAAAAACATGATAGATAATTATGATAAATCTTTTATTTTTGTATACCTGTTTATCATACTTGATTAGCAATATCGATCATTTTATTTTCTAGCATAATGCATGAAAAGTTTTTCTCATATATATATTATCGAGTTTAACAAACTGTGTAAATATAAATCCCATGAGAAATCATGCTTTGACTGCCTTTGAGTACGATATATTCATTCTATATTAATGCCAAAATTAGAACTTACGAAATATGCAAATATTCACCAGAAATTGTGCATAAATGCGTTTGAAATCAATATACATATTTACCAAAAAAAAAATGAAAATACTCATGTATATCCAAATAGAAGTATTTGTTTGTGTAGAATATTAATTCGACTGAAAAATGTTAAAACTCGAAAACTTCTATTTATCTTATCTTTAACTATGCATACATTTTCAACTAAATTAATTCAGTATAAGTAGAAAGATTAACCATCACATTGAAATTGAATACAAGAATAAAAAAAAAACTTTTTCTTTTTCTTATTAATAAAATAAACAATTACATCGTATTCTTGAGTTCATTGGTGTCAAATTTTTCTTAGAGAAAAGTTTTTATTTCAAGATTTAATACGCTAAGGTATTCTATTCATTTGCTCAATTTTCATAATATATAGGTATAACAAGCATGTCGATACATGGTATTAACTTTTAATGTAAAAACAAAGAGGAGAGAATAAATGATGAACAAGAGAAGAAAAAAAAACGAATCAGTTATTTTTGTAATATTACAGAAAAAAAAAGAATTATTTTCCAAGGTTAACCTTCTCAACCATAATTCTTGTTGTTTTTCTCTCTGCTCATTTCCAAAATACTTCGCATTTAATATATTCATAAAAAATAATATCAAAAAACAAACCTAAACTCGAGAAGTTATCGCTACTTGAAACTATTTGTATTATCTTACGCGTACGTTCTTTTTTGTCTTCAGGGAAAAACAAGTCAAAAAGAAAATATTATGATAAACATGAAAAACAATATATTTTTTCTAATTTTTTTGTGTTTTTATATTCCATGTATATATTGAATGAGTGTCTTTATATCCTGTTGAGATGTTGAAATTACCAATATTACTGACAATCATAGAGAGGTAAATAATATATCTTTCAATATATGTTTTTTTTTGTTCGTTTCATCAAATAATAAAACATAACGACGACTTTCAATTATTTTATTTTACTGATTAATGATTCATTGATTATTTCATTAAAATTTGTTGTTCTTTTTATATTACAGTAAAAAACAACAGAAAATATTTCCTTACCATTTTGATTATATTTCTTTTCGACTGATAAAAATACTTGTTCTATTTTCATTGACATATTTATCATAATAAACAACAACCAAAATAAAATATGTCATAGATGAAGATTTATTATACAGACTAACACGTATTTGACAAACAAAAAGAATCGTTGCAACAATAAAAATATTCGTAATTTTCGAGAGGAATGAGTCTTTCCTTTTTTAATGCGTGATGTTTTTGTGCATTAGTGTAAGTGCATTTCATCTTATCTAAGAAAAAAAAGAAGTTGTTTCGAAGTGAATAAGTGACAACAACAAGCATGACAAGAAAATGGTAAAATCGTTTTTTCTTTGTTCAATACGATTATGTACTAAATAGATGGCCGGATGGGCAAGTCATTTCGTTTCCGGGTACGTTATTGAAAGAGAAATAACACGTCGAATAGAGAAAAGACGGATCAGTTTATAAACGTCAATGACTATGCATGGCTGCTAAGAACACTGTAGTCAGTCGATAGCATCAAACAGAATAAAAATGCAAAGTAGCACACGCAGAGATGGAGTGGTAGTGAAGGCGCAAAAAGTAGAGAAGCTGCAACACAATTCGTATGTTAGTAATGATGAGGAAAAGTTGTCGAGAAAACAAGAGAGACGTATTTCAAATTATCAACATATTACGATAGGCGAGTAAAAAAAAACGTGTGATAGTAAAAAACATTTTCTTTCTTTTCCATTCCATCGTTACTCTATCACATCATAATATTGAAGAATTATTTAATAGTATAGGAAATTGAGTATTACCAATAGGTAGTAATAATTCATTGTAAATAATCATAGATAGTAGACTGTATTAAATATCTAGTTTTAAATTTACTATAAACAGATCTTTTAGGTCTACTTAGTATTCCAAAGTCTGTAGTTTTTTCAACTCTGTGTCACAGATTTTATAAGTGCTATGCAGAACTCTTTTAATTCCATTCATGGGATAAAATTTGCCTCTATTAACATACTATCAGCCATTTATTATTGAAATTCAATTTGAGTGAAATTAGGTTTTTCAAAATTATCTGAATGAGTTAATTATGTTTATTTTTAACCATCAAATACAGTAAATATATTTTTTTCTTATAAATGCCAATTTTTTAACAATAGAAATATACATTTTTTCTTTCTTTCTTCCATTCTCTATATTTATTGAGACGTGAGAATGTTCGACGCAATTTCTAGGTCGAATAATTATTTATTCTTAAATAATCATATAAGTATTTTATTTTGTATCTTTTATTTGAACTTTGAGTAAGGAATTCGAATAAATATTACAGGAAGTTTATTTTTCTAATAATTACAATTCTAAAGAAGAAGAAAAAATGTGCAGACTTTACCCACTTATATAACTTCATGTCAGAACTTCTTATTATTTGAATACGGTAAACATAATTTTAATTAAGTTTAAATTTTATTCACCTCATTAATCCGATCGACATTTACTTTATTTTACTGTAAGTCTTATGATCTCTATTTTAGCTAATAATGGGTCATTAATTTGGATAAATGTCATTGTACACATATGGAAATAAAGCATATTTTCATCTGTTTAATAGTTAACATAGACTAGTTTTTGTTCTATCTGTATCCATACATTGTCCTTAGTGGAATAACCAGTAGTTGTGTATACTATCTAAGATCAAGGTTCTATTTGTATACATACAAGCGTTTTATTTTTCTGATTGTTTTTATTAGAAATATATATATATATATATATATATTGTAGAAATTCTAGATCAATAATGATAACTCTTCTACCCTTAATTTTCTTGTCTAGTCTCTATCTTCAAGAGTCGATGACCATTTATAATTGATGTAAGAATAAGTAGTAGTGACAAGAATAGAAACAACAACATCAACAAGATAAAAACAAAATAAGCGGATGATGGCATGGCATCGTCTACATTGGTGTGTTCGAATGCTAAGATCAAAAACAGGTCGAATGATAATTATGCTTATATTAACTGTTGGTATAGCAATAACTGAAATAATATATGGAATTCGTGCTCGATCACAATTACTTATTGCTGATGGACTTTTTTCATTTGCTGAAGGTATTGCACTAGTTGGTTCATTAATTGCATTACGTTATGCAAAAGCTGAACGTTTGCATTCAAAAAATACTTTCGGGTAAATCATATTTATTTAATTATGATTCATATATGAATAATTATTCTTTTCTTTTTCTTTTCAGATGGGCACGTTTAGAAATACTTGCTGGTTTATTACAAGAGGTTCTACTTGTATCACTTTCACTTCCAATTATAGTTGATGCTGTTAATAAATTAATTAATCCAAGTCATGTTGAAAGTCCAAGATCAATGATCCTTTTAGGTTCAGTTGGAGTATTTATTGGTTTATTGGGTTTATTTTTATTTCGTGGTTATGATCATGATCATAATATTGGACACGAAATCGTTGAACAAAAGAAAAACGATTTTGTTCGTAGTGTTTATACAACTTTGCGTAATCTCGATATGAATAATGAGAATATAAATGACTCTTTAATGCGGCAAACAAGTACATCAAATCCACAACCTATTGTTATACCTGAATTAGTTGTTACTGAATCAACAACCAACACTAATAATAATAATAATAATAATAATAATAATAATAATAATCATATTGAACAAGGAGAACAATCAAAACAAAATTTAGTTTTACCATCATTAAATGATACATATAAAAATGCATTTGTTGTTTCGGAAATAACTTCTCCTATAACAGATGATCATATTAGCGATGTCAGTGAACAACAATTACGTGTACCTGTTGAATTTAAACGAACGAGAAGTCGAAGTGGTGATTCCATAATATCATCGATATCTTTTCTTCATCAAGATGATTCTGTTCTGGAAGATGAATTTCAAAAATCACGTGTTTATGCAACATTACATGCTCTTTGTTTACATTCATTGGTAAATATACATGATAGATAAAAAGAAAAAACAAACGGGAAATTCCGATGTGCTTCAAAATGCTTTGTTCTATTCGATCAATGTTTTATTGAACACATCGTATGTGTAATAATAAATTGAATAGAAGGGAAAACCTATTCTTTTTCATGAACATAGAAATTAACCGGATATTTTTATGAGTACAATCAATTGTTTTGAATTGTAATTTTTGACAATATAGTAATAGATTGTTTATCGTTCGTCATTTGTTCTATAGTTTAATTATATCTAAAAATGAACACTTAAAATCTTTTTCTTTTTATTTCTTTATTTAATTATTAATACATTTCATTCAGGCAGTTCTTCTCGAATCTTCAATCGTATTATGTTCTGGTTTGTTAAATGAATTGCTGCGACCAACAAATGAAAATGGTCATCAAATAAATTTATGGCTAAAGTATATTGATCCATCATTGACATTAGTTATGGTGGTAATTATTGCAATCAAAGCTATTCCTGTTATATGGTCACTTGGTCATATTCTTGTTGAAGCTGTTCCA